TCAAACATTGACACTTGTCAAACATTGACACTTGTCAAAATTGACTGCTGTAAAGGTTTTGGTATTCTGCGACATAAATAAAAAGCTCTTTTCTCTGTTAGTTGTCAATACTACAAATGCTGTTGACAACTAAAAAAATATGCTCTTTTCAAGCATTTTCTATTATTTGCATACAAGACAAATATTCTTAACTATAATATACGCTCTTTAGAAGCATTTTTTTTTATTGTTATTTGAATGCATGAAAAATGCTTTTGACAACTTAAAATATGTGCTCTTTACAAGAATTTTTTACGAACAGATACGAACAATTACGAACAGTTACGAACAGTTTACTATACAAAACACTTTACACCATAGTGTGGTGAGAAGCACTAGGTATTTGTCAAGATGTGTCCAGAATATCAAAAAGCTTTCTGCTATATGAAAATCAAAAATTTTATTAAAGAATTTGATAAATCTGTCAAGTGCACAGAATAGGTCTGTAAGTCTCTTTAAATTTTGGCCGAATTACGATTTCTCGGGCGTTCCTTCTTTATAAAAGAGTTTAATAAAAAGAGCTTTTGCACTACATATAAATATTATTTTAGTCTTCGGAATATCAGTCTTTAAAGTTCGAACTTTTTATATTAAAACCACAAAAAACAAGTAGTATTAGTATATCACTAATTTGTTAGCCCCGTTATTACCAGAAATGAACTACATTACCATGTATAAGGTAGAAGACATACCTGCTCAAAAGAGCCAACTTTAATTTACTGAAATCCGTTGACAAATATTTATCAATTCAAAAATCCTCAACTTCTAAAACATTTTAATAATCTTGAGTAAAAGTCAATATTCAAACCAAAACCTCTACTCAACAATTATGTGATATACGAGTAGATGGACTATTTAAAATATTTTTTTTTGTTTTTAATTTAAACTTTCACTTAACATCATAAAGCTTTTATCTTGAAGTATTATATTTACTTTTTTTATTAAACTTTTATTTCATATATATGTACTATATTTATATATGTATGTGAAAAACATTTCATACGACGAAACATGGTATTTTGTCTACTACCGGCTTCCGATTTATTAGATGAAAAATATAATGAATCTAGATTGAGTCTAAAATGATCAATTCAACTACAGCAGATGCTCGCAATTCTTAAGTAATTTAAAAATAGATTAATTAAATTTTTCGAAATTTTAAAATCTAGATATTAGATATCAATTTAATATCGAGATATCATATTCACACGCATTCATAGAGATTATACTGAGCTACGAATATGTAACGTATTCGGTTTCTGAAATAACACGGTCTCTTTCTATACGTTTCTGTACGTATATAGAGAATATATATATATATATATATATGTGTAGATAGATTCTCTATATGTAGAGAATATATGTATATATAATACATAATGTAAAATATATATATATATATTCTCTATATATGTATATATATTCTCTTTATTTAGAGAAATGAATTTATAATACAAAACTTTTCTAAAAACTGAAAATAAATTTCAGATTTTAGAGTTTTATTTAGAAACCAAATTTAGTTCCAATTATCTTCAAAATCAGGATTCCGAACATTAAAAAGTACGAGCGAATACTGTATTTGATTTTGATTTGCACTAAATAAATATTTAGCATGGATATATTTTCACTAATACTTAATTTTTTTAAGGTCCCTTATATGTCTTTTATAAAAATTTTCCATTTCAACAAGTTAAGACGATTTTACATTAAATCTGATTTCATTAAATATTTTGAATATTTTAAGGTGACATTCATGATAAAATTTAATTTTAAATGTTTTAAAAGTGTTGTGCGAGATATATAATCCATATTCAAATACTCATTTAATTATTTAATGATCCTTTGCATATCACATGCAATATTTACTTTATACAAGGGCAGGTGTGATTTACAATATACAGAAATAAAAAACTACTTAAGGATTTTGCTTTTCTACAATCTAATGTAGAATTAAGTAAAATTAAAAATAAAAGTTTTAATTTTTAATACAATATACAAAATATATTTAATAACTCGGTTTAGCTGCTTATCTGGCCGATCCTTCCATCGATGATTGCTTCTTCATATATGAAAGAATTCGGTTCATCATCTGCTCTCGATTTGATTCAAACAGCGACAAAAGGTTGTGACTTGCTTTACTATCATTCTGGATTCTGCATTCTGCTACTTCCTCATTTAGAATCTGCTGCTAATGAGTTCATACCAATATTTAGGTAATATATTTTAAAAAAGGCAAAAAAATTATTTGAACTCTTCCTCGCTGTCAACATTAAAAGATTCAAGTTTCGAATTGAGTAATCAGTAGACAGTAATCAGTAATCATTCAGATTATATTCGATTTATTTATATTCAGTGATGCTTTACTGCAATTGAAAATTGCAGAAGATATTTTCTTAGTTTTCATCTTTAACATATCAATCCCAATCGTTGATGAATTTATTTATTGCCAACATAACAGGATTTAAATTTTTGATGTGGACCCAAATCGTTGATGTGTTTATTTGATGGGAAGAGGTCAGGATTTAAATTTTTAATATGAAAACAGCAATCGTTCCAAGTATGTATGTAAGTATTACACATATTTTCTACTGCCAAATGCTATCTTCAATGGCAATTCAGTTATTATATTTACATCTGCAGTATCGGAAAACTTCTTCACTTGTCACACTTCTTCCATCTTTAAGTCGCATCCTTAAGTCACATCCTTTAGTTGATATTTCATTCAGTTTGAATTCTTCTCAGAAGCAGTGATAATCTCAGTACTGTTCCATTGAGTAACCATTGATATGTACATAGTATATACATGAGGTCATTTCATCTCCAGTCCTCAGCATTCTTATCAAGTATTTACACATACTTCAATTTATTTTTTTTATTTAATTTCATTTTCAAGTTGTTTTTAAATTTTTCCTTTTTAATATGTTTTTCTCTTTCTTCTGTGATATTTGGTTTTTAATTTCATAATTTTATCGTCTGTTTTTTATTTTGCGAATATTGTTTTCTTAAATAATGTTTTATTAAATTTAGTTGTTAAAAAAATATTTTTTTCTTTTTTTAAATATAATTTTTTGTTTTTGTTTTTTTAAATATTGTTTTTATATATTTTCCTTTTTAAATTTTTTTTTTCAAATATTTTTTTTTAAATGTTTTTTCATATTTTTTTTTATATATTTTTTATATTTTTTTAAATATTTTATTGTTTTATTTTTTTTAAAGATTTTCTTAAATAATTTTTTAAAGGATATTTTTTTGCATGCTTTTTTAATACATTTTTTATTACATTTTTTCGAAACATTGTATTTTTATAAAATTTTTGAGAAATATTTAACATTACTTTTTTCATTCATATAATTATTACAATAATTTACAAATTAATAAAATTAAGATTGTATATTTTAAGATGTTTTAAAATATTCATATTATTTCAATAAATCTTTTTTTCTTATTACATTCTTTACATACATTTAAATATAGTTTTGTGAAATTATTTATAAATGAGTTCCAGTAAATTCAACTTATTTAATGAAATCGTGTCGCTGAGGTATTATGAAATTATTAATGAGGCAAAAATAGAGATTATTAAGTATATTTATCTGAGAGCTGGAAAATGATTATTTTTGCTTTTTTTTTAAAAATCATAAAAAGGAATAATCAGAAAAAAAATATTTACGCCGCAAGTATATATGATTTAAATCTTCTTTTTTGCGTTACCAATACTAAATATTTATTGAAGATATTTTCATCAATGGTAGATGGTTTCTTTTTTGTTACCATTAATAATTCTATTTGATTTTTTTCTTATTTCGATTCGTTTTTTAAAAGATAATAAAGGATATAATTTTATCAAATAACCAAAGTAATTATTATATATTTCAAAATCAAAAACGCACGGTGGCATCTTAGCTTTAATCTGTGGAAGCCATTAGTGAGTGGTAGTGACTGAGCAGATTCTACTATCTGCTATTGTATATTCTGCATATTCTATTTTTTTTATATAGATCTTAATAAAAATTTGTAATATCATAATCAAAAAGTATGCTAAAACGAACCGAACAAAGAAACTATTAAAACTAATACGTGTTTCAATATCACAAGTCCGGACATGCCATCAGAAAATATTCGTAATACAGGTAAAGTTTATATTAAATTTTTAATAAATAATTATATATAATAAGTATTATTTATTCAACGGAAATAGATGATAGTGTTCAGGCCATCGAGAAATCTCCAATCAGTTTGTTAGAAACTGATGGAGTAAGTAATGTTAAAGGATTTTATGGCAGAGTTATTGAGGAAATACGGAATGGACGAAAAATCTCGAGCGGCATCACTCCTTTTATAAAGCTCGAAAAGTTATCAACAAGCAAGTACAAAGCTTCAAGACTTATACAAGCAAGGCACCCATTATCTTACTTGGCTTCTGGGCGCTGCGTCAAACCACTTAAGCGAAGTTTTAAGTACGATATCCATATAGGCAAAGTAACTTGCCTACAAACTTGAAAGGAGATATATGTACTATACTGAGGAAGACCATACTACCTTCGATGCACATGCCACTGTCGAGGTGCTACAGACTATACCAACGCTGTTATGGACAAATCCAAAAATTACGCAAGCTTTGCGCATCTGCTGTTAAATGAAGAAATGAGGGAAATATTGGTAAGAAAACTTTTTATTTTATATTCCATATATTGAAGAAGATGTATTGATATTAGAAAAATAACTAAATTAATTAATTTTAATTTCTATTAAAATTTAATAATTAATATATTACAATTTTTTAATCATTTTCAGATATTCCACCAGAAGATCAACAAGCTGAGGGTGGTCCAGAACCCGCTCTCACTCTTTCAACTCAGTTGAAAGAGTCCGATTAGCGGGATAGGACAGACGAGCGAATTAGAAGGCACTCTCTCTTAATCTCTGAATTAAGAGCAGAAGTGTCTTCTCTTAGAGCTCAGATGGACTCACTCATGCAGGCACACTCTTCTACAAACAACTTGCCAACATTTCCTCTGGGAAATGTTGGCGAGTTCGAGAAGTTGGAGGCGCATCTGCAGTCAAATGCAGAAATGAGGGAAATATTGGTAAGAAAGCTTTTTCTTTTATATACCATATATTGAAGAAGGTGTATTGATATTAGAAAAATAACTAAATTAATTAGTTTTAGTTTCTATTATTTGTATTTGCAGAAACAATCATTTCTTCAATTGGAAGCAGATCAGCCTATAAGTTTTGTTAAGAGAGCGGTGCGGAGTGTGCTCGAAGATAGTGTAGCCGGCTATTTTCGGATGAAAGGGACAGACACGAAAAAGGCTATTGGACAGTCTTTCTTTATTAAAATAATAAAAGGTTTTTACATATTCTGTTGTTATTTTCAACTAAACTACATGTAAGTTAACACCCTGCATTTCCTCTGGGAAATGTTGGCGAGTTCGAGAAGCTGGAGGCGCATCTGCTGTTAAATGAAGAAATGAGGAAAATATTGGTAAGAAAGCTTTTTATTTTATATACCATATATTGAAGAAGATGTATTGATATTAGAAAAATAACTAAATTAATTAATTTTAATTTCAATTAGAATTTAATAATTAATAAATTACAATTTTTTAATCATTTTCAGATATTCCACCAGAAGATCAACAAGCTGAGGGTGGTCCAGAACCCGGTCTCACTCTTTCAACTCAGTTGAAAGAGTCCGATTAGCGGGATAGGACAGACGAGCGAATTAGAAGACACTCTCTCTTAATCTCTGAATTAAGAGCAGAAGTGTCGTCTCTTAGAGCTCAGATGGACTCACTCATGCAGGCACACTCTTCTACTCTTTTCCTCTGGGAAATGTTGGTGAGTTCGAGAAGCTGGAGGCGCATCTGCTGTTAAATGAAGAAATGAGGGAAATATTGGTAAGAAAACTTTTTATTTTATTTTATATCGGCAAAGTAACTTGCCGACAAACTTGAAAGGAGATATATGTGCTATACTGAGGAAGACCATACTACCTTCGATGCACATGCCACTGCCGAGGTGCTACAGACTATACCAACGCTGTTATGGACAAATCCAAAAATTACGCAAGCTTTGCGCATCTGCTGTTAAATGAAGAAATGAGGGAAATATTGGTAAGAAAACTTTTTATTTTATATTCCATATATTGAAGAAGATGTATTGATATTAGAAAAATAACTAAATTAATTAATTTTAATTTCTATTAAAATTTAATAATTAATAAATAACAATTTTTTAATCATTTTCAGATATTCCACCAGAAGATCAACAAGCTGAGGGTGGTCCAGAACCCGCTCTCACTCTTTCAACTCAGTTGAAAGAGTCCGAAGAGCGGGATAGGACAGACGAGCGAATTAGAAGGAACTCTCTCTTAATCTCTGAATTAAGAGCAGAAGTGTCTTCTCTTAGAGCTCAGATGGACTCACTCATGCAGGCACACTCTTCTACAAACAACTTGCCAACATTTCCTCTGGGAAATGTTGGCGAATTCGAGAAGCTGGAGGCGCATCTGCTGTTAAATGCAGAAATGAGGCAAACATTGGTAAGAAAGCTTTTTATTTTATATACCATATATTGAAGAAGATGTATTGATATTAGAAAAATAACTAAATTAATTAATTTTAATTTCTATTAAAATTTAATAATTAATATATTACAATTTTTTAATCATTTTCAGATATTCCACCAGAAGATCAACAAGCTGAGGGTGGTCCAGAACCCGCTCTCACTCTTTCAACTCAGTTGAAAGAGTCCGAAGAGCGGGATAGGACAGACGAGCGAATTAGAAGGCACTCTCTCTTAATCTGTGAATTAAGAGCAGAAGTGTCTTCTCTTCGAGCTCAGATGGACTCACTCATGCAGGCACACTCTTCTACAAACAACTTGCCAACATTTCCTCTGGGAAATCATCATCAATTATTACATTCTACGTCACTCACTACGCCAACTAAACATATGCTGCGATGACTTCATGCTTTTCACAGATCAGCCAATATCTGTCGAGGCCTATATGAGACTACTACGAACATATAACATGGAAACGAAGATGGTAGAAAGTACATGCAATATCCATCGCATTGAGTTTTGTCGTAGCCGTCTTATTTACCATCCTGATGGCCACTTGACTATGACGTTTGATCCGGAGCGCAATAGAACGACGTATGGCGCCACCTATTTACCATTTCTGGCGCCTCAATATACCGTGTATTGCGCAGTAGTACAACATTGCAAATACACCATAAATAATAATTCCCTACACAGTCATAAAATCATTAAAAAAAAAACAAAACTGCGGGCTGCGACTCTATTCCAGCGGAAATTTTAAAAGCAAATCCATACTTGCTTGTCAACACACTACACCAACTTTTCAAGGAAATTTGGTGAAACTCAATGGTAGCATTAAAATAGTTTTGGCAGGTGCTTGTAGATCATGCGGGGATAGTACTTTTGATTATTCCAATTAAAGAAGGAGTCGTTGGAACAATTTCGATCGTCAGAGAGTGATTATGAGATTATCAGAGGGATTGTAGACAGAAAACAATAGGTTGGGGAGAGTTTTGAACAGTTTTATTTAGACATTCATAATTTAACATTTAAGTTCAGACGGAAAATCTTAATCCTCAAAAAACAATCCTCAACAATTTGGAGAGTTCGAGAAGTTGGAAGCGAATCTGCAGTCAAATGCAGAAATGAGGCAAACATTGGTAAGAAAGCTTTTTATTTTATATACCATATATTGAAGAAGATGTATTGATATTAGAAAAATAACTAAATTTATTAATTTTAATTTCTATTAAAATTTAATAATTAATAAATTACAATTTTTTAATCATTTTCAGATATTCCACCAGAAGATCAACAAGCTGAGGGTGGTCCAGAACCCGGTCTCACTCTTTCAACTCAGTTGAAAGAGTCCGATTAGCGGGGTAGGACAGACGAGCGAATTAGAAGACACTCTCTCCTAATCTCTGAATTAAGAGCAGAAGTGTCTTCTCAGAGCTCAGATGGACTCACTCATGCAGGCACACTCTTCTACAAACAACTTGCCAACATTTCCTCTGGGAAATGTTGGCGAGTTCGAGAAGCTGGAGGCGCATCTGCTGTTAAATGAAGAAATGAGGGAAACATTGGTAAGAAAACTTTTTATTTTATATACCATATATTGAAGAAGATGTATTGATATTAGAAAAATAACTAAATTAATTAATTTTAATTTCTATTAAAATTTAATAATTAATATATTACAATTTTTTAATCATTTTCAGATATTCCACCAGAAGATCAACAAGCTGAGGGTGGTCCAGAACCCGCTCTCACTCTTTCAACTCAGTTTGCCAACAATTTGGAGAGTTCGAGAAGTTGGAAGCGAATCTGCAGTCAAATGCAGAAATGAGGGAAATATTGGTAAGAAAGCTTTTTATTTTATATACCATACATTGAAGAGGATGTATTGATATTAGAAAAATAACTAAATTAATTAATTTTAATTTCAATTAGAATTTAATAATTAATAAATTACAATTTTTTAATCATTTTCAGATATTCCACCAGAAGATCAACAAGCTGAGGGTGGTCCAGAACCCGGTCTCACTCTTTCAACTCAGTTGAAAGTGTCCGATTAGCGGGATAGGACAGACGAGCGAATTAGAAGACACTCTCTCTTAATCTCTGAATTAAGAGCAGAAGTGTCGTCTCTTAGAGCTCAGATGGACTCACTCATGCAGGCACACTCTTCTACTCTTTTCCTCTGGGAAATGTTGGTGAGTTCGAGAAGCTGGAGGCGCATCTGCTGTTAAATGAAGAAATGAGGGAAATATTGGTAAGAAAACTTTTTATTTTATATTCCATATATTGAAGAAGATGTATTGATATTAGAAAAATAACTAAATTAATTAATTTTAATTTCTATTAAAATTTAATAATTAATAAATGACAATTTTTTAATCATTTTCAGATATTCCACCAGAAGATCAACAAGCTGAGGGTGGTCCAGAACCCGCTCTCACTCTTTCAACTCAGTTGAAAGAGTCCGAAGAGCGGGATAGGACAGACGAGCGAATTAGAAGAAACTCTCTCTTAATCTCTGAATTAAGAGCAGAAGTGTCTTCTCTTAGAGCTCAGATGGACTCACTCATGCAGACACACTCTTCTACAAACAACTTGCCAACATTTCCTCTGGGAAATGTTGGCGAGTTCGAGAAGCTGGAGGCGCATCTGCTGTTAAATGAAGAAATGAGGGAAACATTGGTAAGAAAGCTTTTTATTTTATATACCATACATTGAAGAGGATGTATTGATATTAGAAAAATAACTAAATTAATTAATTTTAATTTCAATTTGAATTTAATAATTAATATATTACAATATTTTTTAATCATTTTCTGATATTCCACCAGAAGATCAACAAGCTGAGGGTGGTCCAGAACCCGGTCTCACTCTTTCAACTCAGTTGAAAGAGTCCGAAGAGCGGGATAGGACAGACGAGCGAATTAGAAGGAACTCTCTCTTAATCTCTGAATTAAGAGCAGAAGTGTCGTCTCTTAGAGCTCAGATGGACTCACTCATGCAGGCACTCTTCTACTCTTCTCCTCTGGGAAAATTGGCGAGTTCGAGAAGCTGGAGGCGCATCTGCTGTTAAATGAAGAAATGAGGGAAACATTGGTAAGAAAGCTTATTGAGGAAAAACGGAATGGACGAAAAATCTCGAGCGGCATCACTCTTTTTATAAAGCTCGAAAAGTTATCAACAAGCAAGTACAAAGCTTCAAGACTTATACAAGCAAGGCACCCATTATCTTACTTGGCTTCTGGGCGCTGCGTCAAACCACTTAAGCGAAGTTTTAAGTACGATATCCATATCGGCAAAGTAACTTGCCGACAAACTTGAAAGGAGATATATGTACTATACTGAGGAAGACCATACTACCTTCGATGCACATGCCACTGTCGAGGTGCTACAGACTATACCAACGCTGTTATGGACAAATCCAAAAATTACGCAAGCTTTGCAAGAAAACGTTACGCAACAGTGCTCGTTCAAGGCAATGAGAAAGCACCAACGAGGCACCAGAATGTCAGGCGACGTAGATACCGGAATTGGAAACAGCATCATCAATTATTACATTCTACGTCACTCACTACGCCAACTAAACATAAGCTGCGATGACTTCATACTTTTCACAGATCAGCCAATATCTGTCGAGGCCTATATGAGACTACTACGAACATATAACATGGAAACGAAGATGGTAGAAAGTACATGCAATATCCATCGCATTGAGTTTTGTCGTAGCCGTCTTATTTACCATCCTGATGGCCTCTTGACTACGACGTTTGATCCGGAGCGCAATAGAACGACGTATGGCGCCACCTATTTACCATTTCTGGCGCCTCAATATACCGTGTATTGCGCAGTAGTACAACATTGCAAATACACCATAAATATAAATTCCCTACACAGTCATAAAATCATTAAAAAAAAACAAAACTGCGGGCTGCGACTCTATTCCAGCGGAAATTTTAAAAGCAAATCCATACTTGCTTGTCAACACACTACACCAACTTTTCAAGGAAATTTGGTGAGACTCAATGGTAGCATTAAAATAGTTTTGGCAGGTGCTTTTAGATCATGCGGGGATAGTACTTTTGATTATTCCAATTAAAGAAGGAGTCGTTGGAACAATTTCGATCGTCAGAGAGTGATTATGAGATTATCAGAGGGATTGTAGACAGGAAACAATAGGTTGGGGAGAGTTTTGAACAGTTTTATTTAGACATTCATAATTTAACATTTAAGTTCAGACGGAAAATCTCAATCCTCAAAAAACAATCCTCAACAATTTGGAGAGTTCGAGAAGTTGGAAGCGAATCTGCAGTCAAATGCAGAAATGAGGGAAATATTGGTAAGCAAGCTTTTTATTTTATATTCCATATATTGAAGAAGATGTATTGATATTAGAAAAATAACTAAATTAATTAATTTTAATTTCAATTAGAATTTAATAATTAATAAATTACAATTTTTTAATCATTTTCAGATATTCCACCAGAAGATCAACAAGCTGAGGGTGGTCCAGAACCCGGTCTCACTCTTTCAACTCAGTTGAAAGTGTCCGATTAGCGGGATAGGACAGACGAGCGAATTAGAAGACACTCTCTCTTAATCTCTGAATTAAGAGCAGAAGTGTCGTCTCTTAGAGCTCAGATGGACTCACTCATGCAGGCACACTCTTCTACTCTTTTCCTCTGGGAAATGTTGGTGAGTTCGAGAAGCTGGAGGCGCATCTGCTGTTAAATGAAGAAATGAGGGAAATATTGGTAAGAAAACTTTTTATTTTATATTCCATATATTGAAGAAGATGTATTGATATTAGAAAAATAACTAAATTAATTAATTTTAATTTCTATTAAAATTTAATAATTAATAAATGACAATTTTTTAATCATTTTCAGATATTCCACCAGAAGATCAACAAGCTGAGGGTGGTCCAGAACCCGCTCTCACTCTTTCAACTCAGTTGAAAGAGTCCGAAGAGCGGGATAGGACAGACGAGCGAATTAGAAGAAACTCTCTCTTAATCTCTGAATTAAGAGCAGAAGTGTCTTCTCTTAGAGCTCAGATGGACTCACTCATGCAGGCACACTCTTCTACAAACAACTTGCCAACATTTCCTCTGGGAAATGTTGGCGAATTCGAGAAGCTGGAGGCGCATCTGCTCTTAAATGAAGAAATGAGGCAAACATTGGTAAGAAAGCTTTTTATTTTATATACCATACATTGAAGAGGATGTATTGATATTAGAAAAATAACTAAATTAATTAATTTTAATTTCTATTAAAATTTAATAATTAATATATTACAATATTTTTTAATCATTTTCTGATATTCCACCAGAAGATCAACAAGCTGAGGGTGGTCCAGAACCCGGTCTCACTCTTTCAACTCAGTTGAAAGAGTCCGAAGAGCGGGATAGGACAGACGAGCGAATTAGAAGGAACTCTCTCTTAATCTCTGAATTAAGAGCAGAAGTGTCGTCTCTTAGAGCTCAGATGGACTCACTCATGCAGGCGCACTCTTCTACTCTTCTCCTCTGGGAAAATTGGCGAGTTCGAGAAGCTGGAGGCGCATCTGCTGTTAAATGAAGAAATGAGGGAAACATTGGTAAGAAAACTTTTTATTTTATATACCATATATTGAAGAAGATGTATTGATATTAGAAAAATAACTAAATTAATTAATTTTAATTTCTATTAAAATTTAATAATTAATATATTACAATTTTTTAATCATTTTCAGATATTCCACCAGAAGATCAACAAGCTGAGGGTGGTCCAGAACCCGCTCTCACTCTTTCAACTCAGTTGAAAAAGTCCGAAGAGCGGGATAGGACAGACGAGCGAATTAGAAGGAACTCTCTCTTAATCTCTGAATTAAGAGCAGAAGTGTCTTCTCTTAGAACTCAGATGGACTCACTCATGCAGGCACACTCTTCTACAAACAACTTGCCAATACTTCCTCTGGGAAATGTTGGCGAGTTCGAGAAGCTGGAGGCGCATCTGCTGTTAAATGAAGAAATGAGGGAAACATTGGTAAAAAAGCTTTTTATTTTATATACCATATATTGAAGAAGATGTATTGATATTAGAAAAATAACTAAATTAATTAATTTTAATTTCTATTAAAATATAATAATTAATATATTACAATTTTTTAAACATTTTCAGATATTCCACCAGAAGATCAACAAGCTGAGGGTGGTCCAGAACCCGCTCTCACCCTGTCAACTCAGTTGAAAGAGTCCGATTAGCGGGATAGAATAGACGAGCGAATTAGAAGGCACTCTCTCTTAATCTCTGAATTAAGAGCAGAAGTGTCTTCTCTTGGAGCTCAGATGGACTCACTCATGCAGGCACACTCTTCTACAAACAACTTGCCAACATTTCCTCTGAGAAATGTTGGAGAGTTCGAGAAGTTGGAAGCGAATCTACAGTCAAATGCAGAAATGAGGGAAACATTGGTAAGAAAGCTTTTTATTTTATATACCATATATTGAAGAAGATGTATTGATATTAGAAAAATAACTAAATAAATTAATTTTAATTTCTATTAAAATTTAATAATTAATATATTACAATTTTTTAATCATTTTCAGATATTCCACCAGAGGATCAACAAGCTGAGGGTGGTCCAGAACCCGCTCTCACTCTTTCAACTCAGTTGAAAGAGTCCGATTAGCGGGATAGGACAGACGAGCGAATTAGAAGGCACTCTCTCTTAATCTCTGAATTAAGAGCAGAAGTGTCTTCTCTTCGAGTTCAGATGGACTCACTCATTCAGGCACACTCTTCTACAAACAACTTGCCAACATTTCCTCTGGGAAATGTTGGCGAGTTCGAGAAGTTGGAGGTGCATCTGCTGTTAAATGCAGAAATGAGGGAAACATTGGTAAGAAAGCTTTTTATTTTATATACCATATATTGATGAGGATGTATTGATATTAGAAAAATAACTAAATTAATTAATTTTAATTTCTATTAATATTTAATAATTAATATATTACAATTTTTTAATCATTTTCAGATATTCCACTAGAAGATCAACAAGCTGAGGGTGGTCCAGAACCCGCTCTCACTCTTTCAACTCAGTTGAAAGAGTCCGAAGAGCGGGATAGGACAGACGAGCGAATTAGAAGGCACTCTCTCTTAATCTCTGAATTAAGAGCAGAAGTGTCGTCTCTTAGAGCTCAGATGGACTCACTCATGCAGGCGCACTCTTCTACTCTTCTCCTCTGGGAAAATTGGCGAGTTCGAGAAGCTGGAGGCGCATCTGCTGTTAAATGAAGAAATGAGGGAAACATTGGTAAGAAAGCTTATTGAGGAAATACGGAATGGACGAAAAATCTCGAGCGGCATCACTCCTTTTATAAAGCTCGAAAAGTTATCAACAAGCAAGTACAAAGCTTCAAGACTTATACAAGCAAGGCACCCATTATCTTACTTGGCTTCTGGGCGCTGCGTCAAACCACTTAAGCGAAGTTTTAAGTACGATATCCATATCGGCAAAGTAACTTGCCGACAAACTTGAAAGGAGATATATGTACTATACTGAGGAAGACCATACTACCTTCGATGCACATGCCACTGTCGAGGTGCTACAGACTATACCAACGCTGTTATGGACAAATCCAAAAATTACGCAAGCTTTGCAAGAAAACGTTACGCAACAGTGCTCGTTCAAGGCAATGAGAAAGCACCAACGAGGCACCAGAATGTCAGGCGACGTAGATACCGGAATTGGAAACAGCATCATCAATTATTACATTCTACGTCACTCACTACGCCAACTAAACATAAGCTGCGATGACTTCATACTTTTCACAGATCAGCCAATATCTGTCGAGGCCTATATGAGACTACTACGAACATATAACATGGAAACGAAGATGGTAGAAAGTACATGCAATATCCATCGCATTGAGTTTTGTCGTAGCCGTCTTATTTACCATCCTGATGGCCACTTGACTATGACGTTTGATCCGGAGCGCAATAGAACGACGTATGGCGCCACCTATTTACCATTTCTGGCGCCTCAATATACCGTGTATTGCGCAGTAGTACAACATTGCAAATACACCATAAATATAAATTCCCTACACAGTCATAAAATCATTAAAAAAAAACAAAACTGCGGGCTGCGACTCTATTCCAGCGGAAATTTTAAAAGCAAATCCATACCTGCATGTCAACACACTACACCAACTTTTCAAGGAAATTTGGTGAAACTCAATGGTAGCATTAAAATAGTTTTGGCAGGTGCTTGTAGATCATGCGGGGATAGTACTTTTGATTATTCCAATTAAAGAAGGAGTCGTTGGAACAATTTCGATCGTCAGAGAGTGATTATGAGATTATCAGAGGGATTGTAGACAGGAAACAATAGGTTGGGGAGAGTTTTGAACAGTTTTATTTAGACATTCATAATTTAACATTTAAGTTAAGACGGAAAATCTCAATCCTCAAAAAACAATCCTCAACAATTTGGAGAGTTCGAGAAGTTGGAAGCGAATCTGCAGTCAAATGCAGAAATGAGGCAAACATTGGTAAGAAAGCTTTTTATTTTATATTCCATATATTGAAGAAGATGTATTGATATTAAAAAAATAACTAAATTAATTAATTTTAATTTCTATTAAAATTTAATAATTAATATATTACAATTTTTTAAACATTTTCAGATATTCCACCAGAAGATCAACAAGCTGAGGGTGGTCCAGAACCCGCTCTCACTCTTTCAACTCAGTTTGCCAACAATTTGGAGAGTTCGAGAAGTTGGAAGCGAATCTGCAGTCAAATGCAGAAATGAGGGAAATATTGGTAAGAAAGCTTTTTATTTTATATTCCATATATTGAAGAAGATGTATTGATATTAGAAAAATAACTAAATTAATTAATTTTAATTTCAATTAGAATTTAATAATTAATAAATTACAATTTTTTAATCATTTTCAGATATTCCACCAGAAGATCAACAAGCTGAGGGTGGTCCAGAACCCGGTCTCACTCTTTCAACTCAGTTGAAAGAGTCCGAAGAGCGGGATAGGACAGACGAGCGAATTAGAAGGAACTCTCTCTTAATCTCTGAATTAAGAGCAGAAGTGTCGTCTCTTAGAGCTCAGATGGACTCACTCATGCAGGCACTCTTCTACTCTTCTCCTCTGGGAAAATTGGCGAGTTCGAGAAGCTGGAGGCGCATCTGCTGTTAAATGAAGAAATGAGGGAAACATTGGTAAGAAAGCTTTTTATTTTATACACCATACATTGAAGAGGATGTATTGATATTAGAAAAATAACTAAATTAATTAATTTTAATTTCTATTAAAATTTAATAATTAATATATTACAATATTTTTTAATCATTTTCTGATATTCCACCAGAAGATCAACAAGCAGAGGGTGGTCCAGAACCCGCTCTCACTCTTTCAACTCAGTTGAAAGAGTCCGATTAGCGGGATAGGACAGACGAGCGAATTAGAAGGCACTCTCTCTTAATCTCTGAATTAAGAGCAGAAGTGTCGTCTCTTAGAGCTCAGATGGACTCACTCATGCAGGCGCACTCTTCTACTCTTCTCCTCTGGGAAAATTGGCGAGTTCGAGAAGCTGGAGGCGCATCTGCTGTTAAATGAAGAAATGAGGGAAACATTGGTAAGAAAACTTTTTATTTTATATACCATATATTGAAGAAGATGTATTGATATTAGAAAAATAACTAAATTAATTAATTTTAATTTCTATTAAAATTTAATAATTAATATATTACAATATTTTTTAATCATTTTCTGATATTCCACCAGAAGATCAACAAGCTGAGGGTGGTCCAGAACCCGCTCTCACTCTTTCAACTCAGTTGAAAGAGTCCGATTAGCGGGATAGGACAGACGAGCGAATTAGAAGGCACTCTCTCTTAATCTCTGAATTAAGAGCAGAAGTGTCGTCTCTTAGAGCTCAGATGGACTCACTCATGCAGGCGCACTCTTCTACTCTTCTCCTCTGGGAAAATTGGCGAGTTCGAGAAGCTGGAGGCGCACCTGCTGTTAAATGAAGAAATGAGGGAAATATTGGTAAGAAAACTTTTTATTTTATATTCCATATATTGAAGAAGATGTATTGATATTAGAAAAATAACTAAATTCCACCAGAAGACAACAACTGAGAGTGGTCCAGACCCGCTCTCACTCTTTCAACTCAGTTGAAAGAGTCCGAAGAGCGGGATAGGACAGACGAGCGAATTAGAAGGCACTCTCTCTTAATCTCTGAATTAAGAGCAGAAGTGTCTTCTCTTAGAGCTCAGATGGACTCACTCATGCAGGCGCACTCTTCTACTCTTCTCCTCTGGGAAATTTGGCGAGTTCGAGAAGCTGGAGGCGCATCTGCTGTTAAATGAAGAAATGAGGGAAACATTGGTAAGAAAGCTTTTTATTTTATATACCATACATTGAAGAGGATGTATTGATATTAGAAAAATAACTAAATTAATTAATTTTAATTTCTATTAAAATTTAATAATTAATATATTACAATATTTTTTAATCATTTTCTGATATTCCACCAGAAGATCAACAAGCTGAGGGTGGTCCAGAACCCGCTCTCACTCTTTCAACTCAGTTGAAAGAGTCCGATTAGCGGGATAGGACAGACGAGCGAATTAGAAGGCACTCTCTCTTAATCTCTGAATTAAGAGCAGAAGTGTCGTCTCTTAGAGCTCAGATGGACTCACTCATGCAGGCACACTCTTCTACTCTTTTCCTCTGGGAAATGTTAGTGAGTTCGAGAAGCTGGAGGCGCATCTGCTGTTAAATGAAGAAATGAGGGAAACATTGGTAAGAAAACTTTTTTTTTTATATTCCATATATTGAAGAAGATGTATTGATATTAGAAAAATAACTATATTCCACCAGAAGATCAACAAGCTGAGAGTGGTCCAGAACCCGCTCTCACCCTTTCAACTCAGTTGAAAAAGTCCGAAGAGCGGGATAGGACAGACGAGCGAATTAGAAGACACTCTCTCTTAATCTCTGAATTAAGAGCAGAAGTGTCTTCTCTTAGAGCTCAGATGGACTCACTCATGCAGGCGCACTCTTCTACTCTTCTCCTCTGGGAAATTTGGCGAGTTCGAGAAGCTGGAGGCGCATCTGCTGTTAAATGAAGAAATGAGGGAAACATTGGTAAGAAAGCTTTTTATTTTATATACCATATATTGAAGAAGATGTATTGATATTAGAAAAATAACTAAATTAATTAATTTTAATTTCTATTAAAATTTAATAATTAATATATTACAATTTTTTTAACATTTTCTGATTTTCCACCAGAAGATCAACAAGCTGAGGGTGGTCCAGAACCCGCTCTCACTCTTTCAACTCAGTTGAAAGAGTCCGATTAGCGGGATAGGATAGACGAGCGAATTAGAAGGCACTCTCTCTTAATCTCTGAATTAAGAGCAGAAGTGTCTTCTCTTGGAGTTCAGATGGACTCACTCATTCAGGCACACTCTTCTACAAACAACTTGCCAACATTTCCTCTGGGAAATGTTGGCGAGTTCGAGAAGTTGGAGGCGCATCTACAGTCAAATGCAGAAATGAGGGAAACATTGGTAAGAAAGCTTTTTATTTTATATACCATATATTGAAGAAGATGTATTGATATTAGAAAAATAACTAAATAAATTAATTTTAATTTCTATTAAAATTTAATAATTAATATATTACAATTTTTTAATCATTTTCAGATATTCCACCAGAGGATCAACAAGCTGAGGGTGGTCCAGAACCCGCTCTCACTCTTTCAACTCAGTTGAAAGAGTCCGATTAGCGGGATAGAACAGACGAGCGAATTAGAAGGCACTCTCTCTTAATCTCTGAATTAAGAGCAGAAGTGTCTTCTCTTCGAGCTCAGATGAACTCACTCATGCAGGCACACTCTTCTACAAACAACTTGCCAACATTTCCTCTGAGAAATGTTGGAAAGCTCGAGAAGTTGGAAGTGAATCTGCAGTCAAATGCAGAAATGAGGCAAACATTGGTAAGAAAGCTTTTTATTTTATATACCATATATTGATGAAAATGTATTGATATTAGAAAAATAACTAAATTAATTAATTTTAATTTCTATTAAAATATAATAATTAATATATTACAATTTTTTAAACATTTTCAGATATTCCACCAGAAGATCAACAAGCTGAGGGTGGTCCAGAACCCGCTCTCACTCTTTCAACTCAGTTGAAAGAGTCCGATTAGCGGGATAGGACAGACGAGCGAATTAGAAGGCACTCTCTCTTAATCGCTGAATTAAGAGCAGAAGTGTCTTCTCTTACAGCTCAGAGGGACACACTTATGCAGGCGCACGCTTCAACAAACAACTTGCCAACATTTCCTCTGGGAAATGTTGGCGAGTTCGAGAGGCTGGAGGCGCATCTGCTTTTATATGAAGAAATGAGGGAGAAATTGGTAAGAAAGCTTTTTATTTT